AGAGAGAGAGAGAGAGAGAGAGAGAGAGAGAGAGAGAGAGAGAGAGAGAGCGCTCCAGGACATCGATCCTGGCGTTTAAAGAGAAGAGTTAAACTGAGGAAAGCCACATGCATGAAAGATGCTTTTCCCAGTGTTACCCGAGGCACGGGTTATCTCCCTTTGAGTAAGGCCCAGAGGCACTCGAAAAGGAATCGGCTATTGCCATTGTTCCTGGTTTTCCACACTCAATAGGTGGTGAGACCCTTGTTTGTAGGACATAGAGAAACAGATCTTATAATAGCAACAGCTATGCACGCTGCTGGGGGAGAAAAGGCCTCCCTGGTCCTACCCAACCCTGAAACCTGCCTGAGACAACACTGACCTTCCAGACAAGACGTGCCTGGGCAATGGCAGCAGACTGTCTGCAGTGGAACTACCCACTCTCTTGATTCGTTCGAGGCTGCTTACACAGAAGGACTTCATGCATGGTACTGTAAATACAGCCAAAACTCTTGGCTAGGGGAGTCTTGGTTTTCTTTCTATGAAATAAATGATTTCTACAGGGGAGAAGAGACAATTAAAATAACTTTTTGGCTACTATTTAGAAATAGACTTCACATACTAAAGTCGGTGAAAAATATCTTGTTTTTAGAGGCTGTTCTCTTCAGACATTGGAGAAAGGGTGTAAAATGGTCCCCAAATGAGAATCATTGGATTTTTGTCATACATTCTGTTGAATAATGTTTGGACACTATTTTGTTTTTGCTTGTTCATTTATTTATTTTATTTTGAGACATGATTTCTCTGTGTGGCCCTGGCTGTCCTGAATTCTCGCTGTAGACCAGGCTGGCCTCTAACTCGGAGATTCACCTTCCTCTGCCTCCCAAGTGCTTGAATTAAAGGCATGCCCCACCACTGCCTGGCTAGACATTGTTTTTAAAAGTCTTATTGGCATCATTTTTTTTTTACCTAAAGCTTGGGTTAAAGTGTATTTTCTTGTTTGACAATTTGAATATATATATGTATATATATATATATATATATATACACACATATATGTGTATGTGTGTGTGTGTGTGTGTGTGTGCACATATATGTGTATTTATAAACAAGAACAGTTGGAGTGCCTTCTTCTTTCTCTTTTTGTCCCTACTAGTCAATTACAAACATGCTTGAGTGATTTGGTCGAATGCATGGTTCCACAGCCAATGTATGGCTAAGCATCGTTCTAGTTTTCCACCCATACTGATAGCTGACTTAGGTTAAGGGAGCTATGCCCTTCCTTATCTTAGAGCTCCTTTGTAAAGCCCATTGGAGCACTGTGAGTAACAGCAAAACTCTCTGTCTGAAAACTACTTCTTGCAGGGTGGTGGCTCCACCGTGAATCCCAGCGCTCTGGAGGCAGAGGCAGGTGGATCTTGTGAGTTGCAGGTCAGCCTGATCTACAGAGCTAGTTCTAGGTCAGTCAAGGCCATGCAGAGAAACCAAGTTTAGAGAAAAAAATCAATAAAAGGAAAGAAAAAGAAAATTATTTCTTGTAACAAACCAGTGAGTTGAGCCAGAACAGCCTTCTTGCACAGCACCCTTACAGATCTAGAGACCCTGTGACCATCTCATCCCTCCCCACCTGGAAGCCACCGTACCTATCAGTCACCATCAGGATTAGCGATGAAGACAGACATTCTGTTAACTTTTTTTTTGTTATTGTAGACCTGAGTTTTCCCAGGATAAGAAGCTAGTGAAATCTCCTTGGAGCTTCACAGTATAGAGAGGCTCCCAGAATGATTCGGTAGCCATAAGTTAAGAAGATTAAAGTACAGCCCAAGGGCAAAAGAAGCATTCTGTCACGTTGCCCATCATGTGGCTCCCTTTCTATTATAGGTGACAGCTGCCAATCAGCCAAGACTCTTGAGGTACTCATCACTCCCAAGTTCCACCCAGAGGCAATTTTAGCTGTCTTAATTTAGCATTAATCAAACAATTCCAAAATGATTTGACTTCTGGAGAATGATATTGATAACACCGCTGAACGTACAGTTGGATGGAGTAGTTATAGGTGCAGGTATTTGAAAAGGTGTTTTATGCAAACTCCAAGCATATTTGTTCTTGATGAAAAGTGGCCAAAACCACTATTTTTGTGGAAAATTTTCTAGTAAGTGGTAAACCAAGTCCTAGTTCATATATTGCTGAATGTCCCATTGAAGGATTTAACGACGAAGTGGATTTAGTATTCCTCTATGTAACTGAAGTATAAAGAGAATGAGGCACGGCTAAAAAGCACAACTTTCTCTCCCTCTCTGTATGCATGGGTGTGCATCGAAGCATGTAGGCATCTCTGTTCTTAAGCTTCCCTTCATTGTGGAGTATATGATATTTGCTAAGTGCGAACTCTGTATAGACCTTAGTATCATCAGCTGTTTCAATTGCTTCCCTCATGATCACACTGTAGGTTCACGCTCCTTAAATTAATGCGCAGCTGATTCAAGTCCGACAGGATAAAGCAGCAATGTGGCAAATGGACTAGGAACAAGATGGAGGGTTTTAATCTCGGAGAAAAATGCTTACACAACAGTTGGCTGTTATATTTTGATGTAACTTTGCGGTGTGCAATCAAAATCTTTATTAGAAAGAACAGTCTATGTTCCTCCTTTGAGACATCTATGGACTCAGCTTGGCCTAAGCTCATGCTCTTACGACCTCACAGCCTCCAGAGTGATGGTTTTGCAGACACGCGCCAGTATAATGGACCAAAAGCATCATCTTAATTGTATTTAAACATAAACACAGTTTGACTTTAGAACAGGGAAGCCTAAGAGAAATAAATGTGAACTATATATACAATTTCAAGGGAATGTTTAGAGTCTACATTAAAGAACTAAAATAAATATCGAGTGACTTTAGTTTTAATGATAAATTCGTTCAGACTCAACACATCCAAAATACTAATGTTATGCCTTGTGTGTTAAATGTTCCTCACAGGCTCGTATGTTTGAACATTTGCTCCTCAAGTGGTGTCAGTTTTCTGGGAGGCTGTGGAACGCTGACAAAATGGGGAAAGGTTGGAAGAGGTTATTATGGGGTAACCAGGCTTTCAGGGGCAGCGTCTCTCCTGTTTCCTGTCTTATCTCTGTTCTAAAATGCCCAGCTGGGAGGAGTGTGAGCAGGCTTTCGTTGTCACAGGTACGAGGGCCCCCATCGTACCTTGTCTGTTGCTGTAGACTGTATCCTAAAACCATGAGCCAAAGGAGCCAAAATAAGTATTTCTGCCTTAACTTACTCGTTGTTGTCAGGGGTTGGGCCACAGTAAGAAGCAAAAATAACTAATATGTGAAGAGGGCAAGCAAACACGACAGTTGGAAATACACTGTTTGCAGTGCGAAATTCTCAAAGAACAAGGGAATATTGAATACATTGAAAAGCAAAATAATGAATGCGTAAAACTGGTACCAGATATAGAGTCCTTGCTGTGACTGCCTCACTGCATGATTCATACACGTTTGGAACTAGCTTGTGGGA